CAGTGTATATCTATTTCATTATATCAAAACACTGGTGTGTACAGATGTGTTGACCATGTGCCATATTATTGGGAATGTATGCAAAGACATGCATGTGCCCAGTAAACTAATAGTTTAATCTGTCTATATTGAATCACCATGTACGCCATTTATTTATATAAAATCAACTGTGTACACTCTCTTGTATTATGAACCGCTGAGTAGAATAAACTTACCTGTTTGTCTTTCTATGCAAATAGAAAGTTTTAAGGTTCTTGTAAATCTCTATGAACAATTCCATGAATTGTTTCCTTAAACAATGTTGAGGTGAATCCCACTATTACGTACTGATTAACACAATGTGTTGGTGCCTGAATTGGAGCACAGTCCAAGCTTCGCATCCCTGCCTGCTGCTTTGAATGTTGCATGTAGAATCAACATACAGGAAGGTAAAATACTTGATCAAATGCTGTTCGACTATTTTGTTCTTGTGTTTCGAGTGGAGGATAAAATTTCACATGACAGTGGTATCACTGTTTTCAGCTTAATTGTAGTATCCCAGATCTGTGACAGTGGATGGGGAGTTTCCTCTTGTCTATGTCGGAACATTTGTATACAGGCATTAATTGCATATTTTCTGTAGACTGGATAAAAGATGACTGCTACTGTGCTTAATCGGTACTTTAGGGAGGACATCCTGTGTGACTGACAGGATAGGCAGAGTTGACAAGAATATTGATTTTATTCATAAGGAAATACTGAAACTTGAATGAGATATCAAAAAGCAGACATTTCCCAGTCTATTTTCTTAAAAGTATGTATAAATAAAATTGATTGTGCATTTTTTTTTTAAAAGAAAAGGGGACATTATCAGTGAACAGCTTACACTTTATTATGTTGACATGAGACAAAACCATTTAGCCGGTTACAGAAAAAATGACAATAGTCCTGAATGTCAGAAGCCTTTCTGAACTCAGTCATGTAAATGTTGTTCATTTTGTTTTTCTGATACATTTTGTGAATCAATGTAACTGTAATAGCTTCTAGTTCCCAGACTATTTGCTTTTGCCTTCTGATAAATTTGTAGCTAGGGCAGTGGGAGATTTGTTTATTTCTCTGCTGGTACAACAGAATATAATTCAAGGTGACTTTTATTTAACTTCACATAGTTTGTTATTTTTGTTATATTGAGTTGTAGGTTATAGAACAATGTCATGTTTTTGAGTTGCTACTCTAAACATGTTAAAATACCAAGCTCTTGTGTATGTTTGACGGCAGGGTCTTGTAAGTTTAACATACATTTTGAATCTGTTATAAAACCACTATTTCTGCAGTCTGGAAAATAAACTTGTTGCCTCATCTGTGACATTTTAAATTGCTGGTGATAATTGATGTTTTGACCTTTTATTATTTTAAAGATGTGTGTACTTGCAAAATGGGACTACTCAGTGCAAGACTTGTTTTAGAAGAAGGCGAGTTTTTATTGAACAGATACTGTAGATTGAATTACATGGACAAGTACCAGCTATGTGTAATATATGCAATACACATAATTTGCAGTTAGATGCAGCAATCCGACCTGTAGAGATGCTTAATCACTGGAAATACAGCTATGTCGAAATGCATATAATCAGCTCTGACATAAAAATGCCCTGTCCTATACAAGAAAATGAAACCAGACACTGAACTGAAAGTTTCTTGGTTCTACAACTGATTAGAAAACAAACTGGAATCCTTTGAGGATGTAACTAGTAGAGTAGGGGAGCAAGTTGATGTGGTTTATTTGGATTCGAAGGCTTTTGACAAAGGCCCACGTAAGAGATTAATGTCTAAAAGTGAAGCACATGGGATTTGGGTAGTTAATTTAGATGGATAGAAGATTAGTTAGCAGACAGGAAACAGAATAGTAATAATGGGACCTTTCCCAAACAGCAGGCTGTGATTGTAGAAATTGGTGTTATGGCCCCAGCTATTCACAAAAATGTTCATAATTTAGATGACAGAACTAAATGTAATATCTGAAAGTACGCAGATGATGCAAAGCTGGGTGGAAGGGTGAGCTGTGAAGAAGATGCAGGGATATTGCAGTATGATTTGGATAGGCTAAGTTAGTGGAGAAATACGGGGCAGATGCAGTATAATGAGGTTAAATATGAGGTTATCCACTTTGGTAGCAAAAATAGGAAGGCAGATTATTATTTGGCTGTAAATTGAGAGTGTAATGTTCAATGAGAACTAGGTGTCCTCATGCATCAATTGCTGAAAGTAAGCATGGGTTGCAGGCAGTAAAGAAGGCAAACTGAAATTTGGCCTTTATGGCATGAGGATTAGAGGACAGGAACAAGGATATATTACTGCAATTAAACAGGGCGTTGGTGAGGCCACACCTTGAATATGTGTGAAGTTTTGGTGTCCCTTTTTGATAAATGATGCCCATCTTGCTGTAGAAGGGAGTATAGTGAATGTTTATCAAATTGTTTCCTGGGCAGGATTGATGTCTAAGCAGAGATGAAGGCTGTTAGCATTGTAGATGGGGAATCTCATGGGAACTTATAAAAGTCTAACAGGACTGAGCAGGTTATATGCAGGAAGGATGTTCCTGATGATAGGGGAGTCCAGAACTAGGGGTCAGAGTTTAAGGAGAAGGGATGAACCTTTTAGTACTGGGATGAGGAGAAATTGCTTCACCGAGGGAGTGGTGAGCCTGTGGAATTCACTATAACAAAGTGGTTAAGGTCAAAACATTGTGTTTTCAAGAAGGAGGTAGATATAACTTCTGTGGCTGGTGGGATCAAGGGTGATTGGGGTGGGGTAGAATTAGGGTATTGAGCTAAATGATCAGTCGTGATCATATTGAATTGTGATTCAGGCTAGGGTTGAATGGCCTACTGTTCCTATATTCTGTGTTTCTATGATGGGATGCACAGTTTGCTATGTTTACTTCTGAACACACCTTGAAGCTTTTGCCTGAAGGTTACAATAATCATTGAAAAGAGACGATTTGGCAATTCTCACTACAAAGTGATCTCAAAAGATGACCAAATTCATGAAGTCAGCATTGGGTCAACAGCAAGTTGTGTTTTATATAACACCTTTTAAAATAGTTTGCTTAACAAGACTATTGTACAAAATTTGACACCATGTCATATGCACAACCAGGACAAATGTTGAGATTTTGGCCACATGGTTTTTCCGGTGGCAAAGATTTGGGAGAAATTGGTCATAATTTAAATGTGGTTCTTCTAAAATAAACTGTCTATGCACGTTAATACAGTATTTGAAGTGATTAGCTCACTGTTTATAATTTAGATGTGTATTTTTACATTGTTTCTAGTTTTGAAACCTTTCCACATTGGTACTGAAGTATTTTGTATGACCCATTGACTGTTTACGGAATGTTCATTTAATCAGTGATTGACTTTGACATTGCATTCATTCAGAACTGTGAAAGCCACGCCATTTTGAGGTTGCAAAACAAGATGATTATCTGCAAGAAGTTACTGCACAAATAGACTTCAGCTGTAGATTTGTTTTTAAGTCCCTCAACAAAGCATTGCATTGTAAGTGGTTAATCTTTGCCATTCAGTTCAAATTTGCCATTTTATTGAAATAATCTTTTGACGGTAGCCCTTACTGCAAAAGACCTTCAATATTTTTGCTTTCTCTGCTATTTTAAATTGCTGTTCAGCCTATCCCTTGTCCATACTTGAAATCTAAACACTGTGACCCAATCATCACTGTGGCGTGAGGGGTGAATGTGCAGGCAATGAGTAGACATGGCTGAGGGGCCTGTTGACCATGTGCGGGGAACCCTCAGTTGATGATCAAGGTGGACATGTCTGAGGAACCCTGTGGAAAGTGGCATCATCAGGAGAAATGTAACAGAAATGGAGAATAGATTGAAGACCTTACAGGAAGTAAGGTGTGAGGAATATATAGTCAAGATAACTGTGAGAGTCAGTGAGTTTGTAATGGATATCGGTGGCCGGCCTATTCCCTGATGTGGAAATAGATGTCAAGAAAGGGATCAGTAAGCGATGGACCAAATGAAGGTAAGGGAAGGATGGAAATTGGAAGTAAAATTTGTAAAATTTTCCATTTCCAGAGAGTTGGAATCAGCATCAACGATCTCATTGAGGTACTGGAGAAAGTTGGGGAGGAGAGACCAGAGCAGGACTGAAACAAGTCATGTTCCACGTACGTCAAAAGATACCAACCTATATGTGTACCCATAGCTACACCTTTGATCTGAAATGAGAGGAGTTAAAGGAGAATTGTTCAAAGTCAGGACAAACTTGGCCAGGCGGGGGGTGTGACGGTGATGGAGATAGTTCAGGCTTCTTTCAAGGAAGAAGTGGGAGATAGTTCAGGCTTCTTTCAAGGAAGAAGTGGAGAGCCCTAATATCCTCCTGGTGGCTGCACACCAGAAATTTTGAAACTGACAATAAATGGTCAGATGAATCTGAGATGTAAGTGGGAAGAGACTGGACGGGGCGAAAAAGAGTCGAGGCAGGAAGCAATAAGTTCTGTGGGGCAGAAGTAAGGGTCTGCCTGGGCAATCCTGTGGTAGATTTTGACAAGATTGAATGGGTACTGGATTGGGGTCTGAATTGGGAGGTTTTAGATGGGGGAAATTCCCCGCATGAGGTAAGGTTGCACAGCTGCAGAAACATTAGTTTTATATTCAATGGTGGGATAATGGCCTGGGGAGGTGAGACATGTGAGAGGTCGACATCGGTATACAAGACAGCAGCATCATCCTTATCAGCAAGTTTGATTGCCAAGTCAGAGTTGGATCTGACAGCATGTCCTGCAGTCAATTGAGAGGGAGATTGATTAGAATGGTTGAGGGTAGCAGAAAACGAAGACTCTTAATGTGCATGGAAAACTTCAAATAAATGCTCAGATAAGAGGTGGAGGTGGGGGGCAGGTACCGGGAACATGTGCGAGGCAAGTGAAGGCATCAGTGGCACTCCTGCGTTTTTAAAAAGAAATGGGCAGAGTCTAAAAGGTGATGGAAGAATTATTCGGTATGGAATACTTGGCCAAAATTCTTGAAGGTGGGGATATAATGGATGAAACTATAAACAAAAACAGACCTTGCTGCAAAAGGTCTGACGTAAAAAGAACAATCTAACCACCACGGTAAGGCATCAAATGCCTCAAGTATGATTTTTTTTGAAGTGTAGGCAATGTTGCAACAATAAACCAATGGCTGGAAAAGCTCAGCAGGTCTGGCAACATCTGTGGAGAGAAATCAGTTAACCTTTTGAGTTGAGTGACCCTGCCTCAGAACTGTTCTGAGTAGGGGTCACTCGACCTGAAATGTTAACTCTGATTTCTCTGCACAGATGTTGCCAGACCTGCTGAGCTTTTCCAGCCATTTGTTTTTGTTTCTGATTTATAGTAGCCGCAGTTCTTCCGGTTTTTATCTCGGATGAAACTTTTTTTGGCTCAAGTACAGGTTTATTGTCATTAGGTGACTTGTTTGAGAATTTGTATCTGTTAGTCTCCATGCTTTCCAAGTTGCAACATTGCCTGCACTTCAAAAAAAATCATACTTGAGGCATTTGCTGCCTTACTGTGGTAGTTAAATCGTTCTTTTTACGTCAGGGACAGACTTGTTAGTAGATAACTGACATTTTCTTGTGGTAGTTCTTAATTGCGCTATGCAACAATGTCACAATTCGAGCAAAGCGGATCTCGTTGCTGCTTTGAACTGGGAGCAACCTCTAGAGAATATACATTGTTCCTACGTCAGACACGACGGGGTGTGTGGCAATTGCAGTTGTAGATTGCATATGCGACCAAAACGTACGAAGTTCCGCGAATACGGAAAGAGGGCTAATGGAGCTATTAAAATTGGCCCTTGGAGCTTTATCCAGTTGAAGGAATCGTCAAGAACTTCAAACAGGCCATTCAGTTTACAGATAATTGGGACACCATCCAGTGGTCAATATTAAATACGATACAAATTCGCAATGACTTACCTGCAGCATTATTCACACTCGTGGTTGCGTGCGGAAGTGAACAGTTCGACGCATCTCCGCAGCAATGGTATTTATTTTATCAAAGGGAAATGTAAAGTGAAAATATAACTAGAATCAAAGTAAATGGGAACACGAGTAAAAAAAGTCCACACACTCAAAATCGAGCCAAACAAACATTCGTATTTCCTTGAGAATGTTACTGGAAATTAGGAGTTTCTGAATTTCTGTAGGAGTTTTCTTCAGGTTCTGTGATGGGGAGATTGGCAGAAAATGTAAAAAGGAAACATTCTCGGCAGAGATCTACAATAATCCTCTTGGATCTCCACAGTGCTGGGTGGTGTCACATTATGTCTCAAACTTTCAGGTTAACTCGTGACAAAAAATATTGTGACTGATCAGCTCCTCTTAGCTTAGGTTCTTTGAGGCAATTTGCAGTGCATTTCACTGTTTTGATTGACCATGAAAATTAGAGATGATTCTGCCACTGTCTCTGGTGTGTAGTCTGAACAGCATAACATGATATACCAAGTGCAGATTAACTCCAATACAATGTCACAAACTTGGAATTATGTAGAAACATTTAGTCAGGAGGGATGTGACAATATTGCTGTCTTTGATAGCCTTGAGCACGATCTTACTGGAGCAGGGCCTCTTGCAGCATGCACCTCTTAAGGCTTTTTTCTTTCCAGTACCCTTCAACTCCAAATTTTGTGGTATAACATGCTGAAAGTGAAAACTGATGTTAGCATGGTGACAGCAATAGGGTGATGTCAACAATTAATCATTTTAACCAACTATACTTAATTGAGAAAGTAATAGGAGAATGAATTGGTCTAGATGAGAAATAAAAGGAAAGATTTACAGAAGAGACAAAGGAAAATTAAAAATTAACTTTGATGAATGTGTAATAAGTTGTCTCCTTTGCAACCAGAGAGATTGGAACAGAGGTCATGTATTTCTAGAGCCTATTCTGCTATTCAATGGAATTATGGCTGATCCACAACTTATTGCAATATATCTGCCTCTGCTTTCCCCCCCTCAACAAAACCCTTATTTATCAGAAATGTATCAATGTAAGAAAGGACTCAACATCAACAGCTATTTGCAAAAGAGCATTCTGAACATTTAACACACTAACTGTGAAAATATTTCCAAACTTTACTCTTCAAGCTTGAACATAGACCATAAAACATTACAGCACAGTATAGGCCCTTCGGCCCTCGATGTTGCGCTGACCTGTGAAACCAATCTGAAGCCCATCTAATCTACACTATTCCATTATCATCCATATGTTTATCCAATGACCATTTAAATGCCCTTAAAGTTGGCGAGTCTACTACTTTTTCAGGCAGGACATTCCACGCCCTTACTACTCTCGGAGTAAAGAACCTACCTCTGACATCTGTCCTATATCTATCACCCCTCAATTTAAAGCTATGTCCCCTCCTGCTAGCCATCACCATCCGAGGAAAAAGGCTCCGACTGTCCACCCTATCTAATCCTCTGATCATCTTGTATGTCTCTATTAAGTCACTTCTTAACCTTCTTCTCTCTAACGAAAACAGCCTCAAGTCCCTCAGCCTTTCCTCATAAGACCTTCCCTCCACACCAGGCAACATCCTGGTAAATCTCTTCTGCTTCCACATCCTTCCTATAATGCGGCGACCAGAACTGTACGCAATACTCCAAGTGCGGCCGCACCAGAGTTTTGTACAGCTGCAACATGACCTCATGGCTCCGAAACTCAATCCCTCTACCAATAAAACCTAACACACCGTACGCCTTCTTAACAACGCTATCAACCTAGGTGGCAAATTTCAGTGTTCTATGCACGTGGACACCGAGATCTCTCTGCTCATCCACACTACCAAGAATCTTACCATTAGCCCAGTACTCTGCATTTCTGTTACTCCTTCCAAAGTGAATCATCTCACACTTTTCTGCATTAAACTCCATTTGCCACCTCTCAGCCCAGCTCTGCAGCTTATCTATGTCCCTCTGTAACCTGCAACATCCTTCCGCACTATCCACAACTCCACCGACTTTGGTGTCATCCGCAAATTTACTAACCCATCCTTCTACACCCTCATCCAGGTCATTTATAAAAATGACAAACACCAGTGGCCCCAAAACAGATCCTAGAGGTACACCACTAGTAACTGAACTCCAGGATGAACATTTCCCATCAACCACCACCCTCTGTCTTCTTACAGCTAGCCAATTTCTGATCCAAACTGCTAAATCACCCTCAATCCCATGCCTCCGTATTTTCTGCAATAGCCTACCGTGGGGAACCTTATCAAACGCTTTACTGAAATCCATATACACCACATCAACCGCTATACTGTCATCCACCTGTTTGGTCACCTTCTCAAAGAACTCAATAAGGTTTGTGAGGCACGACCTACCCTTCACAAAACCGTGTTGACTATCCCTAATCAAATTATTCCTTTCTAGATGATTATAAATCCTATCTCTTATAATCCTTTCCAACACTTTACCCACAACCGAAGTAAGGCTCACTGGTCTATAATTACCAGAGTTGTCTCTACTCCCCTTCTTGAACAAGTCGACAACATTTGCTAGTCTCCAGTGTTCTGGCACTATTCCTGTAGACAATGACGACATAAAGATCAAAGCCAAAGGCTCTGCAATCTCCTCTCTAGCTTGCCAGAGAATCCTAGGATAAATCCCATCTGTCCCAGGGGACTTATCTATTTTCACACTTTCCAGAATTGCTAACACCTCCTCCTTATGAACCTCAATCCCGTCCAGTCTAATAGCCTGTATCTCAGTATTCTCTTCGACAACATTGTCTTTTTCCTCTTGGCTCTAATTTTAGGAGCCAGCATGTCACACATTCCCCAGCCAGTATAAATAATTTTTACCTGAGCTTTTCCCCTTCAGAGTTCCAAACCTTTGATAAATCATAATAATCTTGTCAATCATATTTTAACTCTGGATGGATCCTAAATTTCTGCGGAGTCCCACTGCTTTTACCTTTCCACCATTTAGAAAGTATTCATGTCCAAAGTGGATGTCCTCATATTTGCTTCTACTAAGTTTGTAGGCCACAGTTGAGTCACTCTACTTTATAATGTCTCATAATTTTATGTTTCCATCTACACTTTTACAATGGCTAGCTTTATGTCATCTTAAAAACTACAATATTTAGTTTTCTACCTATAATTTATTTGCAAGTACAGTAAACAATTGAGAGACATCCTTCACACCACAATTCTGCCTGTTAAAGTACTTGCCCATCATCCTTGCCTCCACTTTGGCTGGGTGCAGGGCACAATCTCTTAACCCAGCCAATAGTTGTCTCAAGTCCACGAACTTCACAAGTAGCTTGAACTTTCTGACATAAGACTTTTATGAAATGCTTTCTAGAATAATAATATCCAGATTTTTTTCTCTATCTACCATTACCACAAAACATTTGTCAGGAATTACCCACTGTTTTTACAAATGCATGTTGTCTCTTCCCATATCCCACCCCACCAGACTGCCAACCCCCAAAATCAGCAGAAATTTCGAAGTATTCAGTTACTCTATTCTTAATTATGTATTCTAGCAAATTTCTGACAGATATTTGGTTAACTGATTTATAATTTCCTGGATTTCTCGCTTGCCTTAAACAGCAGAGTGATATGTAATTTTCCACTAAGGAATGATTCCCGAATTGAGAGAACTTTAGAAGAAATTAGAGCATATTCATACCAATTCTTTTATAACCTAGCCTGAAAACCTTCCAACGCTAGGGGTTCTGTAATGCCATCATTTTCTCTCTGATGAAAACGGCATTCTGGGCTGGATTCAAACTCGAGAGATATAGTAAGTCCTCTTTTATTTACAGGGCTGAAAAAACTCTGAATAAAAGGACAAACATAAGAGTTATTGGTACAGGAAGTTCAAATTTTATTCTGATGTCCAATACCTAAGTTTGAATGCAGCTTGGAATGATGACATGATCAAATCATCATCTTGCTCAGTGCAGAGTAACGTCCTCAATATTACTCATTTCTGCCTCTACTCCTATCGTTCCGCCTGACTCTCCACCCACTATTACTGAAAGTATTATCACTCTTTTACCTCCTAACTTGATTATCTCTGTGCTCTCGTTGTTGGTTCTCCCATCTTACATCTGCTAAAAACTTAAATGCATGTGCAGTTTTGCTCAGGTATCCAAAATTACGCCATCCCATTCAACTATCATCACTGGTCTATACTGGCTCCCGTTTACCAACACATGGATTTTAAAATTCTTAACCCCTCAACCCCTGTCAATGCTCTGAACTTTCTATTCTTTCAATTATTGGTTTCCCCTACCCCCTTATTCATTAATGGGATGAGGGTGTTAGGTAGCATTTATTGCCCAGACTCAACCACATTGTTGTGGGTCTGGAGTCACATGTAGGCCACACTAGCTAAGGATGGCAGTTTCCTTCCTAGTGAACCAGATGGTTTTTTTTTCCAGCAATGGATTCATAACCACCACTAGATTCTTAATTCCAGAAATCTTATTGAATTCATATTCCACCATCTACCATGGCAGGAATCAAACCTGGGTCCCCAGAACATTATCTGGTCTCTGGATTTACAGTCCAATGATAATACCATGAAACCATCACCTTCCCCCCACATAGCTGGAAAGATCATGCAGGAGGGATGGCTTTAGATTCCTCGGGTAGAGATTGGGTATGGGAAAGATGGAACTTTTATAAGCTGGATGGGTTGTACCTCAACAGAACTGGGACTGACCACCATGCAGGGCCTGTTATTAATGCTGTTGGGAAGGCTTTAAACTAACTTGGTCAGGGCATGGGAGTCAAGAGGGAATTGTAGTGAATACCAGGGTTTGTGAAAATATTTGGAGATGCAGCTGGAAATACCATTGAGAATAGCAAGTTAATGTGCATGTATGTAAATGCACAGAGTATAGTAAATAAGAAGTTACAGTTGCAGATTGCCCTGCAGAAATATGATGTCAAACGATGAGACCTGGCTCAACAAAGTGCAAAAATTAGTTGTTAAATTTTGCTGGGTATAAGTTGTTCAGAAAAGATGAAAAAAAAGAGGGATAGCAATATTAGTTAAGGAGGGCATTGCAGTGCTGGAGAAAAATAATATCCGAGGGTTCAAAGACGAGTCAATATTGTTAGAGCTAAAGGAATGAAAAGGGTACAATTTCCTTGTTCTGTAATCTAGAGACCACCACCTAGTGGCCAGGATGTAAAGGTGCAAATCTGCAGGGAAATTGCAGAAATGTTAACATTACAGAGTAGTTATAGTGGGGACTTCAATTACAAATATAGATTTAGATACTGGTAGTGTAAGGGCAATGAAGGGCAGGTATTCCTGGAATATGTTCAGGAGGGTTACCTACATGAGAATGTAGATCCAGTTCAGCAAAAAAAGAGTGCACTGTTAGGCCTGGTCCTTGGAAATGAGGTGTACCAAGTGGGTCAAGAGTCAGTGGGGTAACATCTAGGAGATAGTGATCATTGTATCATAAGGTTCGGGATGGTGATGAAGAGTGACATGCACCAAAGCAAAGTGAAAAAAATCGATTGGTGGAGAGAGAACTTTAACAAGGTAAGAGCAGATCTGGGCAGGATTGACTGGAACAATAAGTTAGCGGGAGCAACAAAAACTGATCAATGGGCTACGTTCAAAGAGATGATGTTTTGAGTACAGTCAATTTATTCTTTCAAATGGGC